TGTATATGTATATGTATATGTACGTACGCACGTATGTATATACATACTATAGTAGTCCCGATAATATGTCTATACTCTCTAGCAACTATGGTCTCTTTAATGGCTCTATAATCTATCTATACCATAGTATACCCCACTCCAAGTATTGAGGCCCCGTATGAAATCCAGTCTCCTCAGTCGAACTTCCAAGGAACAAGATGCCCCGCACTCTCTTCGAATGCGGCTTAACGGACGCCATCCTCTACTGGACTGGTGTGCCTTTGGCTCAGGGCACACCCATCTGATCTTGCAGCAAGTATTTAAGCCGAATCTCATTTATAGCTGGACGCAAAACGTTCAGTCGATCTGGAAATCTCTCTGGGACTCTGCGCGCGCAAGGACGCGGAAGGGCTGTGGAAGGCGTTGCTGCGCGATGCTCCGCGGAAGGGCGCGCAAGCAACAAATCCGTAAGCTACAACGGAGCTGGCGGAATACGTCAAGTCAAGAGAGGTTTATGCTCTTAAGGAGGGGTTTATGTTACTTGCGAAAAGACAGACGGTCCGCGGAAGGGCACACAAAAGGGCACTTCGAGGCCTCGGAAGGCAATGGAAGCAGTGGCGGAAGGGCTGCACGATGTTGCAGGGAAGGTGCTGTGTCCTTGAATTGAAACAGAATCTAAAACACAGCTCAGATGTTCAGAACTGAACTTGCGCGACTGGATGCATGGTGGGCTTTAGCCTACTTCAGTTCTCCTTCCAGATGATGCCCAACCTCCACCGCTGAGGCCGTGCTCGGTGCTTCTTGCAAAGCTCGTCGGCAGGCCCCTGGCAGTATGCAAAAAGTGTCTCACTTGTCGGTAAGAGACTAGATGCTTGGTTCCTTTAGCAATATTGATATACGATAGTATATTATGATGAATTCCGCTTGTGCATTTGGAATGCAACGTGCCTTCCCAAGCCGACCCTAGGTCCGATTAGTTTCTTGCCGACCTGAACGCAGGTTTGTGTTCTGTGCTGCGCTGGCGCCGGACTCTTATGATGAGTTTGTTTACAAGTAGAAGATTCTCCATTGTATCGGCAGATCTTTCGCAGATCTCTCACACGTCCTAAGACGCAACCATTGCTTCTTCTGTCGTTTAGCCTGAGTTTTCCATCACACTTGCATTTACCATCACTGATTCTCTGGTCGCGGCCTGTCGCTTTGACATGTGTTGGCAGGCGGATTGGTGGATGCAGAATGATGCAGTGCAATTAAGATGTTTGAGACGCAGGACCTCTCAAACCCTGCTGCTATACTAGGCCCTCGCCATAAGCCTGAATACTACACGGTCCCTTCTTAGGGTGGCGCTGCCTTCGGAGATCATGGACTACCTCTGGGTCGCTCGGAGGACATTTTGTGAGCGGGCATCTGGCTATCCTGCTGTCTCTACTGAACTACCTGCGTGCACGGCGCGAGGCTTTTGATTTCCACGCTGCCAACTTAGGTCTACTCGGTTCTTCTCTGTTTCCAGTGGTTGCGACGGCCTTACAGAGCTTCTTTCAGGGAGGACAGCCCTGAGCAGAGGCTTCTGAGGCAAAGCCACAGCGTCGTCGAAGGTGCTGCCAGAGTTGACTTCCATTCAGATCTTTTCAGATCCAGTACCCGGATGAAAGTTAATATACATGTGCGACTAGCACAAGTCGCCTGCAGCGAGCAAGCTGCTAGCATATTCCAGCCCAGGGCCCGCTGCTGAAGCTAAGTCGAGAAGACCTCGTTTCGTGTCATGACCTCTTGCTGCTTTTGGGAGCAAGGCTGGTCTTCGGCTTCTTCTACTTCAATCTGAACAACATCCTTCTCATGCCTTTGAGCTCAGAAGTCATGTGCTGCGCACCAACACCATGTCGCTGCAGCCCTGCGGCAGCTTCGGAAGTGTGCAGCGAACAGCTGTCGGAAAGACGTGTCGTAGAGCTCTGAACGTCACATCTCGGCTCCGAGGCCATAGCCGGAGTTTTATAACTTGCAGGCCCTTAGATTTTGCATGTACCTGTTTCAACATCCCCTGGCCCTATTCTGAGGCCCTGACCCACAAAGTGTCTAAAACCTCGCGAGATTTCGGAGCTTCAAAACAGTCTGGCTCCATTCTTGCGACGATGCCCATGGCCGTTGTGTGGACACATATCGCCAGCGCGGCAAGTCGGCTGTGCGAACCAACCAAGCCCTGCGCTACTGATGCTTTGCCCCTCAAAGAGGAGACAAAGCTGGGGACCAACAGGCCAGCGAGGTCAGGTGATGAGCTCGTGGATGCTGCGACAGGCGACGAGAAAGAGCTTTTCGGAGCACTGCTGACCAACCGGCTGCAGCTGGAAAGAAGCAAGCTGCAGGAGCAGGTAGACCAGCTACAGTCTGTGCTGGAGGAAACAAGGTACATGCTCACACACGAGCAAAGAATTGTTCAGGAGTTAAAGGCACAGCTTAAGGATGAGAAGACCAGACGGCAGAGACAGCAGAGAACCATGCAAGATGAGCTTGACATGCAGTGCATGGAGATAAAAAGGCTTCACGAGGAGCTCGAGAATGCCCAGGTGGCATTGCATCAGAAGATAGAGGCATCTCGAGAACTACAGAACACAACGAAATCGGAGAATATGAAGCTCGACGTGTGCAAGGCACGTGAGAGCGAAACAGAGCTGTTGACAGCTCTCCTCGAGCATGCGCGCATCCAAGCGAGCGCCCGCGAGACTGGGGCGAGAGAGGAAGGGAA